AAACTGCCTTGCATGAAATTTATGAAAATTAATTCCATTTTGGCTGCCATCCAGATAAGTTTTGTTTTCATGCTAAAGTTTTCGCATACATTGAAGAAGTTTATCCGGCGTTGCTGGGGCCGTAATGAATGCATGGCAAATTGAAAGCATGATTGTTATAATATCTTCAGAAAAGTTTAGCCCTTGCCCAGTCAATGCTTGTTTGAGCTGATAATCATCAGAAGGCGAATGAATCAGTGCCAATTAGACAATCAATCCAGCTTACAACAGTCAGCCATGGTGAGTTCTTCTTCATTTAGTCAGGCGGCGTCTGGGTTGGCAAATCACTCAGTCAGTCATTTAGTGCCATTAAATCAATCATTCATCTACTTAATCTGTCATTCAGCTGTTTGATTATTCACGGTCAATCCTTATTAGGAAGTCTTTCAGTCAGTTTGGGTTCCAGTCAATCAATCAAGCACTGAGACAATGAGTATTTCTTAAGATCAGTAAGGTCTTCAATCATTCACTCAGTCTGTGAGTTGGCTATTCCATCATTCAGTCAAGTAGTTTCATCAAGTCAGTCATTCAATTAACCACCCTGTGTCATGCAATCATTTAGTCAATCTCAACTCAGTTTGTCTTTCAATCAGCGCATCAATCTGACCCTCATACAGCGATTCATTCAGTGCTTCATTCACAATCAGCTCTCCTATACATATATTAGATAATTATATGCATTCGGATGTGCCCCAACAAGTTCGCCGCATAAAGCAAAACTTTTAATTAGCTCTCCCAAGTTCTCTTCTCTCTTATTTGCTCCGTTCACAGAGACTCGAACATATGCATAGAGGCAGCTCTGGTTTTTTGTTCTTATATAAGGCACTAGCAGTTCCCACATGCCTGCAATTGCCAACTAAATGAAGTAGTTGAGTATGATATATGTTAATTAGGAGTGAGTGGAGTGCAGTGCAGTGGAGTGGAGTAGGGGGGCGCGGGGATTATCCCAAGCCAACTGCATTTAACGGTGCAGATTTTGTGGCAATTACATAGTGTGTGGGAACGGAAGGGCAGATAGACAGGCGGCGGCAGGTATCATGAGCAGACCCTGCTGACCCAATTAAGTCTCATTATAAAGTAAATCATTTAATTGCCAGGCACAAGCCACCCAAAGAGCAGCAGAGAAGCAGCGCAAAAGAAACATATATGTACATATATCTTTCTCACGCTGAAGATGAGCAGAAGCCGCCGATGGAAGAGCTGGAAAAGAGGCTGCAAGCACTTTTGGTTTCATGAGCATGAGAGTTTGTTTTTATTTTCTTTGGTCTTTTACAATGCTTATGCCATGCTTAGAGCCGAACGAATTGGAGTTTCGTTCCAAAGTAGAAAGCATTGTCAATAAATAGAATTTCTAAATTCTTGGCAAGCAGACGGTGCGACGTGACAAGTACGACTGAGCCCCTCAGCCCAGCTCAGCTCTGTCAATGTGAACGAAACGAGTCCAAAAGCGTCCAAAGAAATCATTTATTTTCGTCTAAGACTAGACTTCAGAAACTTGTACTAAGCACAGTCAAAGAAGTTTCAGCATGTTGCAAACGAATAAGCAGAATAAAAACCTTTTAACTTTTGCCTTTTAATTAATACAACTAACGACTTTCTTTAACCCATTTCGAGGCGCAACAACACATAAATTACCTGCGCAAGTCTCTCAGCCTCGGCCACAGTCTCAGCTCTCAATCTCATCTCATCGCATCGCATCATTGTAATAGAAATTTTAATCACACTTCAATCCAACCACCGCACGCCTGCACCACCATCGCCCAAAATGTGCATTGTACGACAACTTTCTATGGCAAATAGCAAGATGAAAACAACAAAGTCAAATACAAATACAAATACGAATAATAATAAAAAAATATTAAATTACATGCAAGCATTTAATTGCGCACATCATAAACAAATGCTTAACAATAGCTCCCCTAGTTTTTGCCATCAAATTTGCAATTCATTTCTATGCGTGCTCGTGCATGTTTGATGTGAGCATATCGGCTTTCGTGTAATATCCGGGTTGGCTCACTGTTTGTGCTGGGAGTTATTTATCGATATATTTGTGAGTAGTCTCCGGCTATGATTATATATACATACATATCTGATTCTATATATTCAGACTTGTTTCTATGTCAATACCTCTGCATCTACTCATATCTGTAGCCATTCTTATTATTCCTTCAAAGTTTTCTATATAGATTGATTTTGAACTAAACTTAGAAATCCCCTGAGATCTTGACGAATTGAAATAAGAAGCAAGATATATCATGTTATGATTAACTATTATCTTAAGATAGGGGACCCTTATGTTTTATATTTCACTCCTACCAAGCACTTGAACTTCATTTCCAAGACCTGAGCGAGTATGCAGCAGTCAGTATGCACCGTTCGCTGTATTGTTGTAGACGGCAGCTAAATCGAATTGTATTCCAGTTATATGCGAATTATAAATATATAGTTTGCCAGCAGATTGTATCCACAGTTATCTAACTAACAACGCTGGAAGTATGTGCACAAAATGCGACTTAATTAGAGTGCAGAGCGGAGGACCTCAATTAAAACTGTATGCCAATTTTGATAGTTGAGCTGCCAAGGCAGAAGCAAACAGAGACAGAGACAGAGACAGAGATGGAGGCAGCGCTGGGAGAGTGAGAGAGCTGAAGATAAATAGATATTAAAATATGCCTCGAGTTGGAATTCGAGTTTCGAATTCTATCTTTGATTAGCTGTGGGAAAATGTGCTAATATTTTGCATGCGCCAGCCACTTCAAAGCTAATTGCAAGCATTTAACGCAGCTATATCTACATCTATATATGTGTGTGTGTGTATGAGTGTATCTGTATCTATGCTAATGATAAGCACTTAGCCATTTCGGCTGGCATATGTGAGGCCGCATAGTGCACTGGGCGGCAAACCCTTTGAGGGCTTCTCTGTCTGTGCTTAAGCCTGGCGCACCGCAAAGCCCTTATCAAACGGCAAATGGCAGGCAAATGGAAATGCGATTAGGTTAATTTATCATTAATTATGCAGAATATGTATTCTGTAATTTCGTATCAATTATTTGCCATGTTCTCTCAATGTCAGTCGGCAGTCACAATGTTCGCAAAATTCATAAAGCTGAGAGAGTTTTCCCAGCTTGCTTTCAACAATGGGCAAGAAAAGCAATTAAAAACTTGGCCTGTTTTTATTTTGTTTTCGTTTTTGTTTTTGTTTTCGTTTTTGTTGCTGCCAACAAATTTTCCACAGACAGAAAAATTTGCCTAACTGTTGAGTGGGTGGCCGGATGTTGGGTTGTCGGTCATAATCAGGGCTGTGGCTCCATCTCTCTCTCTCTCTCTCTCTCTCTCTCTCTCTCTCTCTCTCTCATTCTCTCTGTGTATGTATGGCAGCATAAAACCTTTAAGCATTTTAGTACCTGCACTCGGCTTGTACAGGATTACACTTTGTGTATGTGTATATGTCTGTGTGTGTGTGTGTTGCCAAAGGATTATGCTGTCGTAACAGAAGGAGGTGCTGGCAGCAAGGAGCTGACTTGCTTTTAGGCCAAACTTGGCAAGCAAAATGTTTGCCAGTTGGCAACAACAGAAACAGCAGCAACAGCAGAAGCAGCCACAGCCTCTGAGCCGCCGAGTGTTCTACTTTTCTAGCATCAATAGCTCGTGACATTGTTTGTGTGCGCTTACACACACACACACGCACACACACACACAAACTGCGTTTATGCATTGTGCAATTCATGAAAATCCCTGCATTAGCAACATTTTCTAGCAGTTTGTTAGCTTTAAAGCTAAAATGTGAAGCGCAGCCAAAATTAATTTTCAGCTGCTGCCAACTTCACGCACTGACGGCGTCTGCTTCACGCACAGCCGCAGCTAACGCTTCACACTCATGCACATTTCACTAAAGCCATTTCCCGATCAATAAAATATCGTTAATTGCGCAGCATAAACGTTAGCATAGAACTAGGTAAGGCAGCAAAACATGTTTATAACAAGTTGAAAGTGCTCGAGGCGAATGAGCACAGCTCTTGGATACTCTATGGGCTGTTCAGAAGATGAATACAGTTCGTAAAACTTGTTTTTGTATACCTAGGGCAGAGTGTGTACACTGATTAGCTAATCTAAAGCGTGGCCTAAGCATTTGATTAGGCAATGGGCAAATATTTATGCTCGTCTTCATTCATGAGCCTTGAGAGTCAACATGGCCCATGCATACTTGAGATTATAGGGTATATGAAACATGCTGCTGCGGCTGCTGCGGCTGCTGCGGCTGACGCAGGCAGCTGAAAAGAAAAGTGCCTATGAGCATGCTTATATGGAATGACATAGAGAGACAAAGAGAGAGCGAGGGAGAGGGAGCGAGAGGGAAGTAGGTAAGCCAGAACCGCTCAAAAGTAGTTGCTGCTCTTAATGAGAAAGTTCATTTGGTTTATGAGAGTGTCACAGGCAGCGCTCTAAGTCCGAGATTGAGCGACTGAAGAATTAATTAAACTAGTTGAGTTCGTTAAAAATTAATCAAGTTAATTGCTGAAAAAAAAAAGCTCGCGCTAGGGCAGCAGCTGGAAGAGAAGCCCAGATAGAGATAGAAAGAAATATGAGTTAAATTTCCATTTAGATATGGCAATCAATTAATATATATTAGAGAAGCTTTACAACTCATTAACTTTTAATTAAAATATTCTAAAGTTAATTTTGTAGTCATAATTTTGCCTTTCTTGTTTTACTTCACATATGAAATTTTGTACGCCAGCTTCACATGTTAATTTATTAGGCACGGACATGAACCACATTTCAGTTGATAAAAACTAGAGTTGTAAAGTTTTCTTCTATTTGCTTTTCCATCGAACATTTCCTGAGACTTTCGTTTGTGTGGCACTTGAAATGAATGCAGAAACATCTTAATATAATTAAAATGAAATGCATCTATTATATATTCTGACTGACATTCCATTTTCCCCCTCTTCTAATTGCAGCTCGAGTTTGTATTAAAGACAGCCCCAAAATTTCGAAAACATCGAAAATGGTCTTCGATTGTGGCGTTTGGTGTGCAAAGTATTTGCTTTGCATACTGAATTTCATATTTTTTGTAAGTATTGAAAATAAAATAATTTAAAATAATTAATAATAATTTAAATTCAAAAAATGATTTAAATGATAAAATGACCTGTTATGAGTTTTATATTCATAAACAAAATATCCAAAAGACAATTAAGATACTTAAAACTATTTATTAAATTAAAATTATTTAGTTTAACAAAACATGAACAATATTTTACATGTTTATCTTTATTTACTCTAGAGAAAATATTGTTTGCAGTTAATTTGCTTCACATAAGTTTATAATTATTCATTCAAAGTTAAATAAAAATATCTTATATACATATATTTTTATATATATTATAAAAAAAAATTTACAATAAATATTTATTTTTAAATTTAAGTATAAGAAATGCAAGTCAAACATTTCTAGATAAATTATTAATAGCAAATTCATTCAACGCAGCAGCAGTTAAAAACAATAATAAATGACTTTCATACAATTCCAATTTTGCTTTTATTTTGTTTGTCATAATTATTAATTTGTGTAATACAATCTTATATAGAGCTCGAAAACGAAAAAAATAAATAAATGGCGAATTAACTGATTAAACAAGGCTTAAAAAGAAATATTTCAAATATTTATACAAAAATATTTGTGCGAAAATTTCCCAAGGGAAAACCGTTTGAGCTGTGGTTTTTCTCTTATTTGTGTCTCGATTTATGATTTATTTAATTTTTGCAGTTTTTTATCTCTATCTCTCACTCTCTGGCGAGGCTTTGGTTAAATTGCATTGCAAATTGTTGCTTTTGGAGGCGCGGCTGCAGTCAATCAAGCAAATCTCTGCGCATGCGCAGTTTTTTCCACACTTGTGTGGCGGTTCATTGACTTGACAGCAATTGTTGCTCTCGCTGTTGTTGTTGTTGTTTATCGTCATAATCATGAACAACATGAAATGCAATCAACATGACCGCGCAACATAAACACAATCATGTTTTGTGTACGCTCTGTGTTTTATGCTCACAATTTGCATGGCAAGCCAAGCTGAGGGTTACTTTTCCATAATGTGAATTACCTGTGAACACCTTTTTTCGTCTACTTGATATCTTGCAGGTGCTAGGCACAATTATATTTGGAGTTGGACTATGGCTGGCCGTGGACAAGCACTCGCTGATTGCTCTGCTGAAGCTCGTCGAGAGCGAACGCATTGAGGTGAGTATTCATAGCCGATTCCAGGTGAAAGTCGAAGGGGGAAACACCCCAAAAAGAAGGCAAAGAGACCCCCAAACCCCAATCTATGATGTTATTACCTACTTTTATTTTTAATAAGTAGCTGATGTGCAGGACAAAAAAGAAATCAACCCCAAATATAGCTGTATATTCCATCTATTTGTATAGTTCGGCTCTAATTGCAGACCAGTCCCCCAACAACATCACGTGCAGCGTAATTGTTGACATTGCCCCAATGGAAAATTAGACAGAATAGCTCTAGGCAATTAAAGTGCAGCTACCTATGCATAACATACGCTTTAATACAGAAAAATAAAGAGTTTAGCCAAGTTTGACTGGGAGATATTAGAGGTGTTGAAATACAAAATTAAAGCGTTGAATTTATTATACCCTGAACCCATTGAAAATGGGAAATCAGGGTATAATGGTTTTGTTAAAATGTATGTAACAGGCAGAAGGAGGCGTGGCAGACCCCACAAAGTATA